CGTGTTCGCCAGGACGAACTTTCGGTGGTGTTGACTTCGCTGGGATGTTCCACAAAACCGGAGGATCTGGAGGTGATGTTGAAAGAGGCGGATTTGGACTCGGATGGCAAGATCAACTATGAGGACTGGACATTGAGTCCATTTGAGTCAAGCAGCCTGGAGTAGGGCATGGTAGGAGAGATGAATACCAAAGGTTCTACTGTAAGTTCTACATGGTCATAAACATAAATTTTTCTTGAAACAGTGATGCTCCTTGATGTGTAGCTATATATATATGAGTCACAGACCAGGGCTCATATGTCGTGCAGGAGATGGTTCAGTGGCTCTGCCGAGCACCTCATCTTGAGCAGTACTTCCTTCTTTCTTTGGACATCTTCAAGCGGAATTTCAAAGATGTTGACGCGGAGGTGCGTAGTTGCAGGGTCGCTGCTGAAACGGTGTCGACCTATGTGTCTCTGCCCAAACACGCTCTTTTTGGTTGGCAGGTGCTGAGTGTGCAACGAGAGATGCAGAAGATGCAAAAAGAGTTTGATGCCGGTCCACCTGATGACGAAACTGCCGTGACCTGGACGAAGTCGTCATTGGTTTGTCACAGATCGGCTGTGGCTTTGTCTGGCCCTCATTTCGGAGTTTGTCAATCCATCATGGTTTACTGGTTGCCCCTGGGTATCTTCTAGCCCTCTTATAATCCTCTTAATTCCATATTCCAATATCCCGGGGTCGTGCTGGTGTCGTGGTGGCAGTATGTGGCAGTAACTGCTGAGGCGATGAAGAAATGCTTCGATATCATGCAGCAGTTGCTGAAACAGATGGAAGCTGTGCAGAGATCCACCCAAAAACGGATCGACGATGAGTTGACGCCGGTGATCAAGAGGAGTTTTAAGTATCACGACAAGGACGCAACGTTGTCATTCCCGAGCCGCGAGAAAGCTGATCCAAGCGAACTGTTTTGCTAATGTGGTAAACCATGGTGAGCCCTGCAAAATCTCCAATTTTGCTGCACATGGGTGGTAAAAACATGTAAAAACTCGCCACAGTTGGAGGTTTCACATGGTGCCCCATCAATCCATCATCCATCGATCCCCTCAGGACGGCAGCGGCACCTTGAGCTACGATGAAGCCTGGCTTTACTGAGTTTACCCTCTGGTAATTTAACGTAGCTATTGAACATGGCCATTAATAGTGGATTTTCCCATGAAAAATTGTGATTTTCCATAGTTATGTTAAATTACCAGAGGGTACTTCCGTTGATGTCACGGATGTCACGGATGTCTTGCCTTCCGTTGACAAAGTGCTGGCTGCGGGAAATCTTTCGAACACCGCATAGACTGTTGAACACACACGTGCAGACACACACACACACACGCGCTCACACACACTTAGACAATCTTAGACAGGAACAGAAACACCAGAGATCACCAGAGACAAAGAAAGATAAGTTGGATAAGTTGTGCTCCAAGGAGGGTATCATCTTCTTCTCCAACTTCATCTCCCTCTGGGAGCCTTTTGGTGAGTTGATGTCTGAGCTGAACTGTGCCCAGGCAGGGTGCCGCACTGGCACCTGGAGTTGCAGCCTTCAATAAGTCATAATTGATAAGTTTAAGACACTCCTCCGAATTATCAGAAATTATTATGTTTTATTGTTGGTAGCCAATGGTAGCCATATTCATCCATATTCTCTATCCCATTTTTTTGGGGGGAAGTCTAACTTCAATTGCTGCAGCTGTGGTTTTCTGGTAATTGGAGAGCATTCGCAGGGCCCGACATTCGCAGGACACCCAAAAGTTGCAGGGTCAAGACCCACCAAAACCCATACAAAGTTCCTTAAATTGACCCACTGGGCCCATTGTTCGTGAAGCTTCTGAGTTTTTCGTGGCTGCAGGTCGCGATGATGGATCGTATCGATTCAGAGGCGGAGGATGAGAATTTGGACCACACCAAGGATCTGGCGCAAAAGAAGGCACCAAGATCACTGCCATTGATAGGGTGATTCCCTGCATTTCCCCGCACTGAAAAAAAGGGTTCCAAAATGCCGAGGCATCCATTTGGGTAAATTGAAAGGAACCGCGATGATGGTTAGTAGAGGAGGAGCATCCCAAAAACGTCTTATATCAAGTTTGATTTACTACAATGTGCCCAGATCCATGTGAAATTATTCAGCCATTGAACTACTCCAATTAGTCATTCAGCCAAATCACGCACACCAAAAAAAGGAAAGAGAGAGAGAGAGAGAGAGAGAGACAGAGAGCAGTTCCCTATTTTTTGGTGATTTCATTGAGTCTCTGTTTGTTTCTTTTGGATCACTCTATGTGCTTACCGTATTTACAATTATTTACGCCACTGGTACATAGTATGGGGTGGTGCTGCCACCTGTACATAAATTACGGATCCGGAAATCTAGGGTGGCAATGAACGACCCATGAACGACCCCAAATTCCAACAGCAGGTGCAACTCAAAAAACTCATTCGATTGTGGATTCGTCCATTGCCAAAACCATCCAAAACCCATTGATATTTAATAAAATTTAGTGTCATGGTGACTTATGTCATGACCAGCTCCAATCGGAAAAATGTATTTCTTCTTTTGATGTTGGGATTCGTCAATCTTCCTCAACTTATATGTATCAGCTTTGAGTACCCTCCTGTAAACTAACGTAGCTATGAAACATACCTAGCTCATTTGTAGATGATTGCTCTGCATCTACCTATAACGGATAGTGATCGTCCATAGCAAATTTATTACCAGAGGTAAATCACATTTTTGCTGGTTGAAACACAATTTTTGTTAGTTAAATCCAAATTTTGTTGGTTAAAACACCGTTTTCGTGGGTTCGTTGGCTACGGTGTTAAAACCCAATTTTCTTTGAATCAATCCTCATTTTCGGTGGTTCCAAGGGGAACTTCCCTTGAGGGTAACGGATGGTCAGGTGAAGTTGGTGACGCCCGACAAGCTTCACAAAGCCTTCAAGAAGAAATATGCTGTTTTGAAGGGAGACTTGGAACGCAACAATCGGAGTTGGAACGACTATGGGAATACCTCCCAATTTGATGGGGTTCAGTGACTTGGGAGGTTAAAACCAACGATTGCGAGATTTTGGGTTTTTCTTTTGGAAAATAGACCGATGAATCCGATTGTTTTGATTGGGTGAGATGGGTCAGGTTGATGGCTGGTTTTAAGCTTCCCCAACAAAATTCGTTCGATGGCTAGAGTGGCTAGAGGATTTGCACTTGCAGCCCGCATAGATTTCACATCATTTCACAGGATCCCGGGGTATAGACTAATGAGTTTAACTATGTTTTAAGCCGTCCTTCCCTCAATTCTGACCATTTCAGGTGGAGCACGAAAATGCCATCTTCACATTTCCATGTATTTCCCACTTTCAACCGACCAGTGCAGTGATGTTGGTGCCCCCGTAGAGAAGTGGGCCTGTTCAAATTGAACTTTACCAAGTTGCCACAGTTGTATATATATATATATAGGAAATTCCAAGCTTTCTAGCCCCTCATCATTATTTCGTAGCACCTGACAACAAGCTTAAGGAGAACGTGTTTCAAGACTTCGCCCCCCCATCATTTCCCACCCATCATTTACATGTTTCCCCAGGGGAGCACGCGTCGCAGATGGATGCACACCACAAGGCGGCCTTCGAGCTGCTGGGGCCTGGTGGGAAAGTCACCGAGGCTGCGGTGCTGGAAGCGCTGTTGCACGGCCATGAGAAGATGCTGGGACCGATCGATTGACGCATGGGTGGATAGGTAGATAGGTAGATGGGTAGATGGGCAGATAGGAAAGAAAAGACAAGACACCACAGGATAAGACAAGACAAGATAATATAATATATAAGGGACACACGATAAGATAAGATAGAAAAGATAAATAACATAGATAAGATAGATAAGATAGATATGACAGATAAGATAGAGAAGATAGGTAAAATGGATAGGATATATAGGTAAGATAGAGAAGGTAGTCCAAGACGTAGATAAATGGGTAGGCAGATAGGTAGACAGTCAGATAGATTGACAGAGAGATGTGGATAAGAAAAGACAAGATAAGAAAAGAGACACGGTAAGATAAGAGATAGCAGATAAGATAAGATAAACTAGGAAACGATAGATAAGACATAATAACACCAGATACGACAAGATCATATCGATAAGACGGATCGACGGACAGACAGATAGATAGCTAGATCGATAGTTCTAACATGTTCTAACTCTCACAGGTGGATGATAGACATACATACACATGTATAGATAGAAGCAAGTATGTAAGGGAACACTAGGGTTAAAAGACCTGAACATATGATTGGTTCACTTGATCTTCTGCTGGTCTTGGGACACTTTTTGGATTCATTTTGGAAATTCCGGCTGGCTGGTGGTGCAGTTGCCGTTTGGTGCTAAGCCACAGATCACATCCTTTGGTCATTGTTTGGCGTATTTTGATGGGACTCGGATCCGGGATTCCATCCTAATGCCCACCAGCATTCGGAGGAACAGTGAGTTCCTAGACGCCATGGGCCTTGGAGTCCAAGATGTGATGAAGGCAGCTGAACCCACATGCATCATGTTGCGGGACAGCTTGGAAAATATCAGAGAGGCGAGATCACGTACCGGGAGATTGGGAGCGGAGGGCGAATTATATGGGCCGAACTTGGTCGAACTTACAAGCTTTGGGCTTGCAGGTTTGAGTCGAAATTGTAGTGCTTAATCATCCATTTTTTGCCAAACAAGCTGCAGCAACACTCATTTTTGATCATTTTTGAGGATCAGTCTCGGAGACATTTGGTTTCCTGATCCCTCCAACTTGTTTGGTGCCCACCTGGGTCATGTAGGTCAGTCCAGCAATGGGTTTGTATATATATATATACACGCACACACACACATACTGTATGTAGATATATACATATATGTATAACATTTTAAATAATGTCCCAGAATGGCAATTTACTGTAAATGGGGAAAGCGATGGCAAACCACTGGACCTTAGGTGTAGTTTCACAGAAAACCCAAGCTTCGTTTCAGGCTCTCAATGAGGTAAACCAATCTGCCAGCGAGATGGCCGCCATGAAATTGGACGTGCCGGTGATGCCCGTCGTGGGGGAGAGTGATGGCCCAGACGACTGCCAGGTGCAGTGAGATGCTGGCGCTGAGGTCTACACCAAAGGTGTAGCCTTGGCGAAGTGTCCCAAATGCTGAGATCCTCACGTGTTTCACATCGTTTTCAAAGGTTCATCACTGAAATGACTGGTGTACTCTGTTGCACGCACTATATGTGTATAAGTGCATGCAGACACGCACACACACACA